GTTTATCAGCTCTTCTATCTCTTTTAAAAGAGAGTCTTCGGCTGCTGTTTAGCGCAAAATAATCTACTGAAAGAGTACTATCGAAGGGTGCCCGCCGCAATCTCCTAGAGTTAGAGTGTTCATGGCATGGTACGTTTTGGCAAAGAAAGCTCTGAGATATACTACACAGGCCCAGGTTTTTGTGTAGAGAACCTGTGAGGTTATCCATAGTTTTTCCCACCCGTTGGCAAGAGTGAGTCACCACTTGCCTAATGGACCATCCAAAAACTTTCGCTTTATTGTTTATAAATTCTTCCTGAGCCACGCAGCTAACGCGACTTTATATTTTCTCGTGGTGAAAAAGTTGTGACAATCATTTGTCGTAAAGCTGGAAGCAGGAAATCTGTTTATTGGTTCGTTCCGAAAGAACTTTTGCATTTTCAAACGGACGTAACATCCCGCGAAACAAAGTCATAATAAGATCTCTAAGCGCATTCGATGCAGATCACCAAGACTGGTTCGAAAGAGAAGAAAAGGCATCGGTTGACATTCGAGTTGTTCGCCGATTGATGTTTTCTGAGGTTTGATTTGACCAAGCATAAAATGCGATGGCATCCAATATAATTCTATCAAATGTAATGGCGGGTTATGGCAAGGAGAAAATAATCTATTTGTATCCCGTAGGGTTTGCCCTATTCGTGGGTTACTTGGACTTTTTGTCTAACTGCAGTGCGCTCATAACAATTCAAAAGAGGATAAAAGTTGTATAGAATGCAATCAAGATTTTTCGAAATCTTTAATTTGCAGCGAATACTTGTGGAAGAACGTAACACTATCTTCGAGATTCGATTTTGTTCTTCTTGGTCCACCTGTGAAAAAGCCCAGAAGTAGAACATTGAAGTCGAAAATGTCTGTCAACTTCCTTGGACGTGTTGTGCCATAATCCTCATCTTGTTGAGCCAGAGCTCGGCGCGAGGGGTATGTGTCAAGCTGAAAGTCGTATTAAGTGGGAAAAGCACAAGGATATTGTGAACACAAGTTTATACGCAAGCACATCGAAAGCGCATTACCCTTGTGCACGAACGCGGCTTTATTAGTCGCAGAGCGCGTGGATCGCAGGACTTACAATGGGAAGATACGTGCGCGCGCAGTTCGCGCCCGCTCAACTAATAGTGCTCCTGCGCCATCGTTCTGCAGGTAGCAGCCTTTATCTACGCATTCTCCTGATAAGTTGTTACACTATCGGCATGCAAAAAGACGATCTTGTTTATCTTTTAAATTCCGAGCTTTTTCTCACAAAGATCGTAAGCATCCGCCTCGTTTTCAGCCACGCACGATGAGATGAATATAAAGTATGCCTACCGAAAGTAAATATAAATATAAATATGCCCACCATACAATACTTGCGTAGTGGTCAGTGGAAACAATTTCATACTTTAGAGTATGGAATTATACGAAAAACTTATGTGAATGAAGAGCTTGCCCAACATTTCGTCGAACTAAGGTGGCAATTGCCACTCTAATGCCCCAGAGTGGCAAAACTTTCAGTTCACATAACTTTTTGGGGTTTTCATCTTACATATAAAGCTGAATGTGTGTCTGTCGTCTGTGTGTACGTATGTGCGGGATAGAAATTTTTACCTCTGAACCGATTTGGACCAAACTCAGCACACATATACTTCGAGCGCGGAGCGTGTCGCAGGCTACTTTTCGCCATCGATCGATATCGACTTTATCGATTTTTATCGATTTGTATCTAAGAGGCTAGGAGTTGGTGCAGGGATGGGGGGGGGGTAAGTGAACATGCCTGTTACGAATACAACATCAGTTTCTGGAATCAATTACTTTTATCGAATTTATCGAATTTTTGCAAAGTTCAAGCTATAGGGCTGGGAGTTGGCACGGGGGGGGGGAGGTAAGTGAGCTTGCTGATTAGGATTACAATATTCGTTTTTGGATTTATGGATTCTTCATCGATTTTCTCGATTTTTGCAAAGTTTGAGCTTCGGGGCTGGGAGTAAGGGGGGGGGGGGGTAAGTGAGCACGCTGATTGCTAACACAGCGGGAATCGCGAATTAACATGTAAAAGTGGGCACAGAAAAAGGTTGTACAGGGATAGGGGTCCTTTCTTCCACGGTTGTAACAGCTGATTTTTGTACCATTTTGAGTTTAGCTTGGCAATTTATATCCAAGACTGCTAATTGAACAAAGTTACGAGCAATTTTCCGCTTCCAGTTTGCATGTCATGTACTGTGAAAATGATCTAAATTGGTAATAAATGCGAATTTGATTCAAAGTTACACTCCCTAATTTCTGAGATATATTTATTGTACATTAAAACTGATGGGAATAGTTTTGGAGCTACCCTGCCTCCTTAATCCTGCAGAAAGTAACCAAAGTCAGTGTCATTTGAGGCCAAACAAATGCCTGTAACTTTGTTCAATAAACCGATAAGCAGATAAGGAAGTTTGCTTTGAAATCAGCACTCAAAGACCTTTCGAATAATTCACAATAGGGAAACTCCACTGCGAGTCATGTCTTCCTGTTAAGTAATAATTCTGCCAGTTTACTATATCTTTTTCGAAAAATCTTCTTCACTTTTCTTAGAAATAGACAAGATGTATGCTGAAATGAATGAAATAAATCTGGTGAAGAAAATGCACAGAAAACTTTGTCGGGATCCTATTATCTGTTACGCTCACAAACAATGATCGATCAAGTTTTATTGTGAACATTTTAGTATTAGGTTGGTGCAAAAGTAATGCGCGTTTTTCTAGCCCTTATTTCAAGACAGCTTTTCTCCATCGAATTTTTTGCTATGAAACTTACACAGCATACTTTAAAGAAGCTTCTTTCATGCTCTATTCAATGGTGTTTGAAAGAAGCTTCTAGCCTCAATCGTTAAAAATTTATAGAGCTTCATACAACCGCACTCGAAATCAGAATTTCATTGAGTTGCAGCCTGCTTGTGTTAGCGTTACGCTTAGCGTTTGAGTTGCAGCCTGCTTGTTGTTGGTAAGAACAAAAAACCTCAAAATGTAATAAAATCAAGCTAACCCATTTTTCACCCTTATAGATAGTGAAAAAATGAAGTCGATTCTAGAGATGTTCGCCGAAAACAAGAATTCTAAAAAATGACGCGATTTTTGTATAGTGACAGCTGAGTTAAACTCATATAAATCTTGAATGTGAAGGTGTATGGTGTTGATACTTTATAGGTTTTGTAGAGTAAGGTTTGCCTCATCAGAATATATCTTAACCGTACCCGATCCATTGAAACAGCGTTGAGATCCGGGTCTTGAAAAAGCAGGTAAAAAGCGCTTTTTGAGATTTAACAGCTCATAACTTCATAAGGACTACATGAATCATGCTACGACTTCATAGTTAGATTCTCCTCATCAAGAGCTTTCAGATTATATACAACATTTGGATTAAGGCCTCCTACTACTTATGCCTTTGGGGGAAACTTTTCATCACAAATTCTCCCCTGGCGCCTCCACCCAGTGCATTGAAGTGGGCTGGGGGATTTGTGATGAAAAGTATACCCCACGGGCTAAGTCGCAGGAGGAAGCAATTAACATCAGGCATTAAGCATTTAGTACTTTAGTATTATAACCAAGTAGATAACTTACCGCTTTTTATGCAATGCAGCTCAGTCCGATGAATGTGATGAGCGGAAATCTCTGAAAACTATGTACAAGCTTACTTATTTGCTCAGCTAATCGACGGAGAGATCAAGAAGAAAGTAAGGACACACTGGAGGGATGATGTAGAAGGTTGGGGGGGGGGGGGCAGATACATGACTCGAGGCCATATGTAACATTGCGCCAGTAGTACTGACGGAAGCTGACTCTTGTATTGCTTTGTGTCGCATCGCGACAAATCGTGACTCCTGGCCCGTACTCAGTACAAAGAGCCACAAGTTCGGGGAACTTGCCGCCTCTACGGGAAGGACTGACCAAGAGCGACGTGAGCTAAAGTATCGCGCATCCCCCAAAATTGTTCCCGTAGGTACTATCAAAGTGGCTGCCTTTAGGTCTAGCATGTCAAGTTCGAGAAAGCGCCGTAAAGGCAGTAGATCGGCAGAATGAGACCGTGGCAAAACGAGGTCACAGGGTAAGAGCCCCCATAAGGGAACCTATGGGCCAAAGTTCGATCTTTCGCTGCCACTTCTAACCCGCGAAATTTTAAAGCGAAAGCAGCGCTCATCTCCTGTCTTCTCCGAACCCGCCCACCCCATGGACGAGTGACTTCCACGTCAGAGCGCCAGCCGCAATGCTATAAGCATGAGGTCCCGCAACGACTCTGCGTCTTCGCCATGACGGGCTTCGCGTTCATTCGTCCATGGGATGGGCGGGTTCGGAGAGGACAGGAGATGAGCGCTACTTTCGCTTTGAAATTTTGGGGGTTAGAAGTGGCAGAGAAAGACCGAACTTTGGCCCATAGGTTCCATTATGGGGCTCCCACCCTGTGACCTTGTCTTGCCACGGGTCTCATTTTGCCGACCCACTGCCTTTAAAGGCAGTGTTCGGCTTTGGCTTTGTTCTCGAAAACTCGATTTTGAGATTTTGTGCCTACCCGGACCTATTCGGTATGCTGAATCCGAAAATCACATTGAAAAGCACGAGAATGGCAAAAAGGGGCTCTAGCGCAGAAGGAAAACAGCAAGTGGTCCCCATTGTAAATTCACGTTTCCAGCTTCCGGAGCGGTCTCCTCGATTCCTCTAGCCGTCCTAACATAGCTGCCGGCCATTTGCGAATGATTGACTTGAAACCCGAAGCGAGAATATCGCTCCGGAAGGTGGGAGCGTGAATTCACAGTGGGGAGGACCCCGCCCACCAGCTGATTTCCCTTCTGCATCAAGGCTCTTTTCGACGTTTTCGCGCTCTCCAGTGTGGATTTTCGGATTCAGCGTAGCGAATAGGCCCGGGTAAGCACAAAGTCTCAAAATCGAGTTTTTGCCCGGACACTGCCTTTAAATTTGCTGGAGTAAATGTGTTAAAACGATTGAAACGCAGCCATGTTGATGCTTATCGAAACAATTCTGGGGGATGCATCAGAGATAGCTGTGAGCTCGAATACTCTCCCACTCACATCATGTAAGAAATCATAACAATCAAACGTTGCAAAGTCGAATATATTGTAAAAGTGTTCATTTGTCACTCTCTAGTCGGGCACCGTGTTGAAAGTAGGAGGAGGTGCTAGCAGGACTCAGCATGATATGGCTTTTCAATTTTTCAGAACGATGTCCCAGTAAACTTGGGCACAAAATTTACCTATGATGCGATCGTGAATGAGTCAAACACGAATAACAAAAAGTTATGGGACAAAACATGAAACTAACATTGAAAAAACAAAAATGTCCTATTCTCCGAATTGGGGGCATGCTCTCTGGCGCGCACATTGCTTAAAGCAGGTTTATCGCCGCATGCAAAGTATTTGGAGGGCTGTAAGTAAGTGGGGAGGAGAGTTGGAAAGATTTTAAAAAACTCATTCGCAGAGACTTTGATGTAGGACAAGGCTAAAAAAAACATGTGAGAAAATTATATGAAGAAAGGGAAATTTACGACTTTCTTTTTCGCAGACACCTCAGGTGCTGTCCAGGTGGCTGGAAATCCGGCTAAACACAAAGAGTTTACCCCGCTTTCAGTTTACATAACTTGTTCACAATTTTTCATGCTTGGTTTTAACTCCTTATCGCCCATCTACACACCAATTTTCGTATCATACCGTTTTCACTTCGCTGTAAATAAGCCTTTTATTTATCTCGGGGGATTTTGAATTCCCGAGCTTGTGCGGCGAGCACATTGTAACGGGAAATTGCTGGTTTTGCAGAGATTTGAATCGGTATTACAGTGCTGCGACGTTTTCAGAAGATGAAGAGGTGGTATAAAAGAGGGGGAGAGCTTGGGGGGGGGGGTAAAGTGGGAGTAGGAGTTAGAAATTGGGAGTGTATGTGTAAGACTCATATAACAGCTCTGGGATAAGTTTTGCTTTTGAGGACGGGAGGAGGAGGCTGGAAGAAATGCTGACAAGGGAATGGCCAGAAGTCGAAGTGGATAATCCAAACAGCAGTACACCTTCAGATGCAGCATGAAGCGGTGACACAGAATCTTCTTGCTTATCTGCTTTTCGCTTTCGTGGAGAACCTATATGCTATCAAAAACCACTATTTTGCTAAAAGATTATGCAAATTGCAAATTGCAAGTTTGGCCGTATAGAGTCACGTTCGGCTCAATGCTGAGCCAGAACATGCAGCTAGGTTACTTCGTATGACCCTTACCCAAAGGTGAGCTAAAAGTTTAGTCATGTGCTCAGTTTCGCAGTTTTTATGTAGATTTTTTTCGCAATAAAAACGCTTGTGGCTCCTTCACAAATCGAGAAGCAGATAAGGGAAACAGAATCGAAGTCAGCGTTTTATGCTACATTGAATGATATGCAGCTTGTTGGCTTGGCCGCTTCGGCATCTACCACTCCCTTGTGAGTTACTATGTTGGAACTGGCCAATTCGCCGAAGTTGTTTTTAATCGTTTAGTTTTCTATAAAATTCAGTTTAATGTTGCTTTGCATATCAAAAGGTTTTTTGATTTTTTTTACAATCCTCGCACCCCGATTCTCTACGAGGGAATTGGCGATTTTTTCGTATACAAAACTAAGCTTATACATACTTTTTTCGGGGCTTCACCACGGACCCACTAAGGTACCCGCTTTGCTTTTCACTTCAAAGCGATCTCTAGCTTGCTCCGTGAGCCACCTATGCCAAGCTCTGGGTGCTAAACGCGACCCTGCCGTTATCTAGGCGCTTAGAATTATGGCCATACACAAGTGCAATTTTGTACGTCGAAGATAAGTAAAAGTTGTGACACTGAGGATCACTGATAATTTTCTGCGTATTTTGCCCCTCTAATCAATATAAAAATATTTTCATCAAAGCAGCTGATCAGAATAGGAGGCGACATTTTGGTACTATGTAAGTCATCTTGGCGTCCTGCCCACTCGCAACAGTGAGAGCGAGACGCACTAGCGTTGTGCTTGATAAGGCAGCTTTTGAAACAAAAGCTATCACTTGACACCAGTGGCGTGCCCAGGATTTCCGCTCGGAGGGGGGGTCCGAAAAATTTTTTGGTATACTTCTTAAAATTTTCGCGGACCCATAACCCCGAAATTCCAGAAAAAGGAGCGTGGCGTCAACCACGCCCCCGAAAAAAATTTTTTTATAAAGCTAAAGTGAGTTTTTATAAAATTCAAAATATTTTGATTAATCACAAGTATAAACAAGTCACTTGCACATTTTTAGCTCATATAGGTAACTTTCAAAAATTTCGCGACCCATTCTCGGGGGGGGGGGGGCCTCCCCCGCCCATCTCGGTACGCCACTGCCTGACACATATTCTGTGTGGAAGTAAAGAAAGAAATCCTGTTGGAAGCAGCTGTTTATGATTGGCGCATTCGATAAACTACAGCGATTTCGCAAAGTTTTACGTTCAGGAACTGCAAAGAATTGTTTAAAGTAATCTTTCAAAATCTGAACTTTCAGGATGGCCTCATAGAGAAGGATGATTATTTCTTTTTTGCTCGTCATCGAATATGGGAAATCGGAAAAAGGTTTGACAGTGTTTAACATAATGTTTATCTTCTTACAAGTGATTCATTGATAATTTCATTATGCACACATTTCATTATCTCTATTATACCGTGAATAATAATGTTGTGGGAAGTGGTTGTTTCAGATGCAAAAACTGTGAGATAGTGGACTACATGCCAGTACTCGTTGATAAGAAAGGTCACTACCTTGGTTACAACTCTGAAACAAATCTCATGTATCTTGACAGATCTAACCATTTCAATATATTTGGAAAACAACGCATTCAGACTGTATTTGAAGAGTTAGCAAAAAAGTTTACGATGTTCACAGATGGATAAATATGTGTATGTATCGTCACATGTTAGTAAGGGTTAGTCTCAGACGAAGGCGGATGCCTATATGAAGCGAGCTTACCGACTTCGGGTTTGCATCCCATGCGCTCCAGTGATAATAAGTGGGCGACCTTTGCTTTCGCGTCTGCTTCGCAGCAATAAATATTTGCCTTCATGGGACTTAGCACGTAGGTGGTCCTATCAAAGTCAAGAAGGAGGGTCCAAACAAGATGGTACAGCACCCAGAGTTATAATCGAGGAAAACGGAGAAGTATCTCATGACTACAGTAAGCTCATTATTTTACAGAAGAGGAAAGGAACGGTTATATAGTGTAAATTCAAAAATTTTTGCATAGGGCAGTCGAAACACAGAAACTTCGAAAGCTTCTAGAGAATCAACAAGCACAGATATGAGAAGAACTGTAAGTCATATAAGCTCCGCTTGTCAAAGTCTTACAGTTTAGACACTTTATGAAAGTATATATTCATTTCGATAATCACCGGATAGCTAAGCACGCACAGTGAGATGTGCGTTCCTAAATTTTTGCACTCTGCCCCTAGAAGGCCTCAAAACAGTCTACAAGTTTGGGAAGACGGATTGTTGCTCCGCTTTTTGTTCTTCTTGCAATTAGGTCATTGCTTTTAACAAAGCTAAAATTCAACGAGCGGTCTAGCATATCTCGTAGCCTCTTTTCTGGGATACAAGAAACAGACTGCGACAAGTTAACCTTTGTTTTTTCGATGTTTGATTTCCCGCAACTTATGCTTAGTAGCTTATTTACGTAAAATTCATCTCATTTAAGTGTAAATCTCAACAATTCCTCAATTTTTGAACAAAAGAGCGCCTCTTGTATGGAGACTTGTGACGTGCTACATCTTGGCCATCATTTCACTTGAATACGAACATTGAGGGACCTGTGATTTGTTTTTACTTACAAGGGAACGATACCATATCGCTCTGGTAAATTGAAAGGAGGCGTTTATTATCGCCTCTTGACGCTGATTTCAAATCTGCTTTTCTGTTTTGCGGAACGATTCCCTGAAAGAAGTTATGTAACGCTTGAACGTCCAAATCTGTAAAGCCTAAAGTGGCATAAAACCAGTAGACAGAAATATCCGTAAGTGACTGATGAGTTTTTTTATAGAATATTTTAACTACAAAAGACCAGACCACTAAAAATCCGCACAAGCATTTTATGCAACTTTTCGCTAATTGCCACCTGGACATTAACAAATCTAGAATCTCACGCGCTCACAACTCCTTGCGCTCATAACTCCTTTTAGAAGTTATGAACGCGTTTCTTTTAGAAAGTTATTCCGCAGAAAACGTGAGCATTGTCAATATTCTCAAAGGCTCGTTTGGTAATTTTAGTCATTTGTCTAGTCACCCCATAATCTAGCCACCTCGGGTAAAATACTATATGTCATTGAATAGGAGCGGTCTCTGGTCACCTGCAACAAATACGCACACCATTCAGCAACATGTAGTTCTCTACCACCTTATTGTCGCATTCCAAAAAGTGAAACGTAATGATTTCGTTGAGCGTTAAGTTCACGAAATATAGCCGACCAGGTGAGTTCTTGGAAGAAAACATTTCAAAGTGCAAAAGGAATATCTCTGCGTTATTGACTAAGATGTCAGCGCCTTTGTGTGCAGTCACGGTGAGGTGACTAGAGAGATGGCGCCTACTGTGCGATTTGGTGTGCTTTCCTTATTAGCAACGGAGGTCCCAGAATTTCCGTCCGGGAGGGGGCGCGGCAAATTTTTTCAAATGAAGGTTCAAACGAAAAAATATAAGGGGTGCTTCTCAAAATTTTTTACGGGTTCCTAACCCTTAAAATCTGGAAAAAGGGAGCGTCCAGCCCCCCCCCCCCCCATTTTCTTATAAGGCTAGTTCGAATTTTTAAAAATTTAAAAAATTCTTTTGATTGTTTACAAAATAAACAAGTCACTTGCAAAATCTTATAAGCCACGTAAGTAAATTTCAAAAATTTCGCGACTCATTCTCGGGAAAGGCCCCCCCTCGGTCCACCCTGCTTATTAGGTTTACAAGGTTCGTAAAACAATAGTTAAGCCGAAAATTTATCGTTTTATAAAATGTTCGGTCAAAATAGCAGGTGCCTGCTATGGCCTAATTTAGGAGAAGATTGCTACTGCACCAACGACCTGCAGTCTTCGCATGGTTTGACTTGACTACATATTATGGTCATTGTGATAGAGCAGCTGAGCTCGCACTTTCTAAAAGGCCCGGAGTTTTCTGTGACCTCCTAAGCAAAACGAATCAAAACAGAGTGATAGATAAAAACAGAAAAGAGTTGCACAACTCGCTTCCGTGTGATGTGTTACAGAAGACATTGAGATGATTTACGACTTCTCTGTCTTCTCCGGCTAATCTGTTAGGTTGTGTGATAAGTTCGTTTGCATTTTTTGTTTCAGATTCCTCTCAATATTTTCCAAAGCATCTTTCAAAAACTTTGTATGCCTTCAAAAGCTCTAAGTTTTCTCTATCAAATTTTGTTATTATTTCCTCAATTTTTGAGAAGCTGAATGAGAAATACAAATCGAAAAGTTTGAAAGAACAAAAATTCCATTTTCGACAACTATATTACGCTGCCTTTTGAACGGGTTTGAACGCTTCGAAAACAGCAAATTTTGCGACGAGTATGTGTGCTTCCCACAACGTACTCCTAAGTGAGTGCTGATAAAAGTGCTCAAGATCTATTTTACAAACTTTAAGACAAGTTTGTTTTTTGGTCTTCGGCGTCAAAGTTAAGCATACGAAGGCACCTTTTGAGAGGATGGTCGGATGGTTCCAAATCATAAAATCATCTAATAATAGGTTACTTACTCCAAAGTTTGAATTTAGAGAATCCACAACTCAAGTACGCGAAACAGCGCCTTTGCGACAAAGCCTTACCTCTACCGCCTTTTGCAAAACTGGTATCGAACGGTCGGTAAAAGGAATTGAGAAAGCATAAACAGTCAGCGCATGAATGATTAGTCGGCTATTTTCAATTTTCTCAGGCTCTCTGAATATTTGTGATTAACGAGAAATTAAGAGAGAAAAAGATGTCGAAAATGGGATTTTCGCCTTCTCGAGATTTTTCGGAATGCAGTCGAATTTTTCGACTAACTTCTCGGGAACTGAAAAAGTGATGAAAGTCGTTTGTAAAGATAGGGCTTCCAACGCATACAAACACCCCGCTAAACGTTCTGCAAAATAAGAAAAAACTGTAACAAAAAATGTGAACGAGCTTATCACACAACACAATAGTACACTTCAAACTCGGTATTGTCTTGCCGTGCTGCCGACCGGATCAGCCATACGAAAAAAACTATCTGCACTTCACTAGTCCTCTAGTTGCATCTTTCTGTACAGCCCGTATTAAATGCTATGCTATTTTGCATGTCTCATGCCCCTTTGTCCTTTTTTGATTGTTTATGAGGTAACTTCTCATTGATGAAAGGATGGGCGTTACGGAACACGAAAAACTTCCAAGTTACAAAGTTTTGATGAGTTCACTTATTCGAGCATACGTGCCTGAATCTCGTCAGTGTTAGGACGCGTAGACTGCAGAAGTCTTTCCACATATCAAAACTGTAGGAATTGTCAAAATGCAAATTAGCTGACTACAACTTTATGCTTTAGAACGGCAGTTAGTGGTTTCATGAATGTCGCAAAATTTTCGCGACGCCTGCATTGAAACCGCAAGTGATTTGTCTCACGAGTAAAGAATACCGAGTCGCAACGGCTTTAGCAAAGAGATGTACAACATTGTGCCTTTTCCCTTCTGGATACCGTGTCTGCGTTCCAATTTCTTGAAACGATTCTGTAAGCGCAGTAAAAACTCCGATCCTATGCTGTCCTATCTACAGACGAGTACGAATAATTAAGCATCATGATTGCGACGTGAATGTGTTTCGATAAGCAATCATGCATACTCTACTCATAATCATCTAACCTAATTCAAAAGGTGATGATTCTAACGAGAGGCAATTCAGCATTGGATCTAGTTTTATCTAGTAGCGACATTGTGAAAAACTTGCACATTCGTGCACCCTTCGGCTCATCCGATCACATGATCGTAACGTTTCAGACAAGTTTTTTATTCTCAAAAATACTTTTTTGCCTTTTCCTAATTTCTTTGAAGCTGATTATAACAAGATCAATAGTGACCTTCTATGCTTAAACTGGACGAGCATTTTTAAAAACTTGCAGTCAGTCGACGAACTACATTACCGATCTTGCAAGGAATTATACAGAGTTTTTGCCAAATATGTTCCATTTACGTTTGTGAAAGCTTCATACCACGCTTATCCTCCACATATTCTCAATCTATTTGAACAAAAATCCCGACTATTTTTTACTCTACAAGAACCTCTGAAACACCCTCTCTATAAAAAAGTTTGCTGTGATTTGAACTACCATCTTAAGAAATTTCCTTGTAACTTCGAAACCCGTCTTGGAAGAAGGCGCAAGCTTTGGGTCTATTCTTTGCCACTGTCTATGAAAACAGTGCCCAAAATGTTTTAGATTTTTTATCTGCTGTTCCATCCGTCGTTCGTATAACCGAATCTTTCATGAGTTACATATTGACGCTGAGATTGTTTATATAGTTATGAAAAAGCTCAAATCCATGATTTCAGCTACATATGATGGCATTCCACAAATTGTATATAGAAACTGTGCTGATTCTCTTTGTGTCCCTCTTTCATATATCTACAATGTATCTCTAACTCTGGGCTTAGTACCCCAAATCTGGAAAGAAGCCCTTGTAACACCTATTCCTAAGAAAGAAGGCAGTGAATCAGTGGCACATTATCGACCCATTAGCATAATGCCCTTGGCGGGTAAGATTCTGAAGAGGATACTACAACGCAAACTTTACGAATGGTTTGAAGAAAATCATGTACTGCCAAACCTAGGTGCGATAGGGGGAGTCGGGCCCTCTCCAGGTGAAGGGGGTCTCTGCTACTCCCTTCCTTGTAAGGTGAAGGGGGTAAG